TCTGCCTATAAACATAATAAGGAAATTGGCAAAAATAGTGAAATCGATGTTCCAGACACTGAAAATTAAGTAAAAATTTACAACACTCTATAAATCCAAGAAAATAGCTTAATATTGGTAGCAGTGAGCTTCATGGTGGTATAACTTATATTATTTCTGTCCTGACCTCTAAATCCATATGGAAGTACAGAGGATTTGGAAGTCAAAACAGCCTTGAAAAAGAAGAGTGAAGAATCACACATGTCCCAGTTTCAAAATTTGCTACAATGTTAGAGTAAGTAATGCTGTGGAACAAGTGTAAGAATAGACATAGATTCATGAACAGAAGTGGGAGTCCAGAAATAAACCCTGTATCTGTGCTCAATTATTTTCAACAGGATGACAAGACAATTCGATGGGCAAAAATTAATTCAGAGAAGATCAAAGACCAAATCAGAGATCTAAAACCATGAAACTTTTAGCTGGAAACATGAAATATAAACCTCAGACTTTAGAGAATACTTTCTTAACCAAACACCAAAGGCCCACACAAAAAAATAAAGTAAAAATACATTGAATTTGATCAAACTTGAAAAATATTTATACTTCAAAGGCAACCATCAAGAAAGTAAAAAGACAAACCACAGAGTGGGAGAAAATATTTGTAAATCATACATCTGATAAGGTCTAACATCAGAATATATAAAACCTTATAACTCAACATAGGAAAGATGTTCTATAGCTTTATAGATAGATATTGATATAAATATAGATGAATGAAAATCAAAAACATAATTAGATACCACTTCACCTTTTTCAAAATGACAATGAAAAAATAGACCATAGCAAGTATTGGTGAATATATAAAAAACTTAGAATATTCAGTATTGCTAATAGAAGATATATGGTTCAGCCCCTTGATAAGGTTTGGTGGTTTGTCCAAAAATTAAACATACAGTTACCGTATGACCTAACAACTCCTAGGCATATAGCTAAGAGAATTGAAATTAATGTCTGCATTAAAAACTCATATATAAAAGTTCATAGCAAAACTATTTTCATAAAAGCCAAAAGATGGGACAATCCAAATCTCCATCAACTACCGAATGGATAAAGAAATTATAGCATATCTGTAAACTAGAATATTATGCAGCCTTGAAGGAATGAAATTCTGTTAAATGATATATTATGGATACACCTCAAAAACATTCTGAATGAAACAAGCCAGCCGCAAAAGAACCCATATGATATGATTCTTTTATATAAAATTTCACAAATATGCAAATCTGTGTAGATAAAGTATATTAGTGATTTTCAGAGACTGGGGGAGGGAAGGAGGAATGGCTACTAAGGGGCATAGGGTTTTCTTTTGCAGATAATAAAAGTATCCTGGAATTAGTAGTGATGATAGCACAACTAAGGATATTCTAAAAACTACTGAATTACACTAAAAGGGTGAATTTTATGAAATGTGAATTACAAAGTGTGATCGAAAAGGACAAATATTAAATTGAAAACTTATAGTAAAAGATATATTGCTATTCATTTTTTTCTAAAAATATTTAGTTCTTTCTGATCAGCTATTGATGGTAAAATAAATTTAAGTGGCACCTAGTTGAAATATGTAGTAGTTCATTGGAGGATAATTGTCAAAATACTACCTTTTCTTCATGAAAGGAGAAAAGAAGGCACTATCAAATTTATGACCAGCAATTTGGGTTCATTTGGACACTTGCAGATGGTTTTATAGGTATATTGGCAGGCACAGTGTTGAAAACTCACTCCACTAGAGTTACGAATAATAGTATAATACAAATTTTAAAAAGGAAAGATGTACATTGAATTCATGTCTGCAACTAAAGCAAAATACCCACCAAATAGTATAACAGATCTTTTAATGACTAATTTTTTAACATCAAGATTGTTTAGGGACCATTTTCTTTTTGAACATCTAAATATTCAATATATTAAATAATGTAGAGAGAGAATAAGTTCTGAGTGATGTGAAATTAAAGGGCCCATGAGTGTACATCTTCTGGCTGCCAAAGCTCAATTTTGTAATAGGGAGATACATTGCCATTCATTCCTCTCAAAGTCTGCCCATAGCTTCAAACACATTTTTCCCATCATTCCTTCCACTTTCTGAAACAGCTCTGGAAGTTCTCCTTTGCATGTGTCTTTAGTTCCACTGCCACGGCTCCCTCGCAGTCCTGAATCAGTTCAAAATTTACCTTGAACTTGGCGGTGGTGGTAGCACCTGGCCTACCTAACCGATAGAGAGAAATACATTATTCTGCTGAGTAAATGTAAAATGAGCTGGACATGTAATCCTTGGATGCCCTGTGGCACAGCTCTTGGGCATAGCCGTACAACATGACCTCAGAATGAATTTGAGATCCATAATTTAAGTGCAAGATTCCAATATTTTGAAAAAGGCAACATTTTTGGCTGAGATGTCAAAACTCACTCAACACATAGCACTGGCATTCATCATACAGTGTATCAAGATATTTTAAATATTACATTTTATAAGCTGTGTACTTCAAAGGCTCTTGACAAGAGGTTATTAGTTTATGTTTACGGTACAATCTGGTATGTTGAGAAAGAATATCAAGTTAGATTTTTTAGTGGTTTTTACTGAAAAGTTGAGCAGTTTCCAGCAGATGGACCCTGTGCACCTGTTATGGCACACGTTTACTTAGATGTGAGTTTGACCTGTAAGTAGAACCATTTCCTCCCTCCTTTCCACCCCTGTACTTTCTTGGGTAGATAAGAGGTATCTAGCAAATGAGCCTTCTTCTCTGTCAGACATTATAATTCAGTGATTTTCAAAATGTGGTCCCCAGACCAGCAGCCTTAGCATCACCTGATGCTTCTCAGAAATGCATTCAGTTAGGAACACAGCTTCACCTGGACCCACTGGATTGGAAATTAGGTTGTGGGGGGGGGGTGTCTGGATTTGAAGAAGCCCTCCAGGGTCCTCTGGGCTCAAGTTTGAGAAGTACTGTTTCCAACTGAGGTACTCTGCTTTAGAGTCTGGAAAAGGAGGGAGTGGGAGAGTGACAGAAGAGGGAGAAGTGCCCTACGGAGCATTGGACCTTTGGAGCTGCAAACTTGATGTTTTATGTGAATGTTGACAGGACCCAGTGGGACTCTGTTATGTCTCTTTTCTATACCCCATTTCCTAAATCTCTACTTCCTCGGAGAAGATTTGAAATGCAGACTGAAACCCTTTCACAATTCCATCCCACTTAGGAGCCTGCTTAGAAGTGAGAGACAGGTTCTTCTGGGGTGGTGACAAAGACTGCAGCAGTAGGATAATACTACGTTTCCTCAAGTTGTGATGATGCCACACTTTACTAAAAAACATTGTTGTCAAGAGTCCTGGCTTAGTAACATAAAACCCTAACAACAGGCCCTGCAGTTGGTAGCAGATGCCTAGAACTCACTCAGAGCAGCACTGGCTCCTAGTAAGTGTTGGATGTGCGTAGGAGGTCAAGGTGGTGGCGGCAGTGGATGCAAGGGCCAGGCCAGACTTCTCAAGTGGATGCCTGGGTTGGCACTAGAGGCAGTTGCTCTTTGTATCTGGTGGGTAGTTGCTATATTAAGAAGATTGCCAGATGGAGATAAAGCTCTGTCTCAGAACCTTTTACCCAGCAGATCAGGCTTCTCAGAGACAATGCCTGACTGTGCCCCATGTGTGAGGCTGGTCATTCACCAAGCTGCTGCTGGCCTGTTAGTGCTAGCCACAGAGGCAGGGATCCTGGCTGACATAGGCACTGGGACCAGGGTGGGAAGACTATCAAGAAAAGCAACTATTTCAGGGCCTGTGTAGTAACAGTTTAGCGTTACAGACCCCAAACTGCCAGGGGTGGGGTGTGCAGTGACAACATGGAAGACAGCAGTTTAAATGCTGGCCAAAAATGGGAGAGCCTTGGGTCGAGATTGAAAACCTGTAGGCCACAAAGGTTGGGAGAGGCATCTCCAAAGACCTCCAGGCAACTAGATCCCTGGTGTAGGAAGCCAGGAGCCCAGAGTAGGGCTTGGAAGGCTCAAGTTGGGGCTCTGGGCTTCCATGACTTTCCTTCCCTAAATTTTTCCTAAAAATACTGTTCATTATCCTGGGGCAACCAGGGAATACCACTTGTCAATGTGAAAAGGATCGAGAGAGATGGGAAGGAAGAGGAAGGCCAATAGCAATAAGAGAGAGAAAGGAAGAAGGGGAGGCAAAAGGAAAAGGGGAAGGAGAAGTCAACGGGGGAAGAGGAGGGAGGAAGAGAAGAGGATGCGATGGGTACTTATCCTAGGGTATCCACGGCTTTCCAAGCTCTGTGCTGCATGTTTTGCATATACGTTGTCATTTAGTTATCAGACCTATGAGATTTAAGGAAGGAAGTCTTGTTTTTAATTTTTTAAAAACAGCTTACACTGAACTCTTTCTGCCCAAACACCCGAGATCCAGTGTGAGGTAACCAAACTGATGTAGTGTCACATAATGATGCAGAGTCAATGCAGATTTAATCACTAGGTATGAGGGCAGCTATGGAAGGTGAGTGAACTAAGTTATTCTGACTCGAGTCTCAGGAGTCCCCTCTCTGTGCTGCACCCCTCTCTCCTCGCACCTACGCACTCATTTGCGTATGGGCAGCAGGGAGAAGGGTGTAGTGTGCTAAGTGAGTGCTGCGAGACAATGGAAGGCAGCAGACACTGTGTCAGGAGTTCTAACAGGAAGTGATGGGGAATCAGGCAAAATGGAGAGTAGGTGCCACCTTCTGAGGGCACAGCACTGCTCAGCTCCAGCCATTGCTGTCACATGGGGAAGTGGCCTCAGTGTTGCCGGACTGTCTCTTCCTTTTCACCAAAGGCCAGCGATCCAGCAGCCCTTCAGGCAACCTCCAGTCTGCTAACAAAATGCACCTGCGCGCTCTGTCTGCCCACGGATGTGCCGGACCATACTCATGTCTTTTTCTAAGTTGTAACCAGGAGATTGATCTCTTCCCTGTGTTGCTTTCTCCTTCCAGGCCATTATGTCTATGTGGACACCTCCTTCGCCAAGCAGGGGGAGAAAGCCGTACTGCTGAGTTCAGAACTGCAGGCTGAGGAATGGAGCTGCCTCCGCCTGGTCTACCAGATAACCACATCTTCAGGGTCTCTGTCAGGTCCCAGCCAGCTGAACCTCTATGTGAGATATGAGGATGAAAGCTTTGATCGCTTGCTTTGGTCAGCTGAGGAACCTTCAGACAGCTGGCTTATAGCAAGCCTGGATTTACAAAACAGTTCCAAAAAGTTCAAGGTAGGTGGAGTTTAGGAGGACGATGTGGTACCTGCAATGAGTGCTTTATCAACAAAAAATCTTGTAAAAACTTCTGCCATTGAGGCTAGATATATCATAGGAGATGATTAGTAATGTAAATTAATATTCTACTTATTAAAAGAGCTTCCTCCCAGATTTCTCCAACCTATTTGAATTTCCATAAATGATGGCTGAGCTAACCTTGTCAATGAAAATAGTTTGTCTCGTGAACTTTAGGCAGTATTCTTCTTTCCTCTGCTTTTATTTTGTTCTTTTAAATTTTATGTGGTATGTGTTTATATTGCCTTCCTAGTGGTTTCCTTTCCACAATGTCTGAGCAAGATATTAACTATAACACAATGAAAAAAGGAAATATTTTGAAAGAGGAAAGATGCTTACAGGACACATTCTGTTTCCTTTTCAAAGGGGAAAGTTGTTCTGTCAGAAGTGCTAGAAAAGGAAGGAAAGAACGTAAGGATTTTGGGGGAGGACTAAAATAGGGAAGGAGAATAGCTCTGGCTATATTTGGCTATGAAATGTAATATTTAGCAAGAATATGTCGCTGAGGTCACAGTGGGACCGTCGTAAAAACTTTCTCCCTTCCTAACTTGCCATTCAGATCCCAGTCTCATCCTTCTTCTCAGAAAAGTTTTGAAACACTGCATTCTCCTACAGCCCTGTCTTGTTCGAGTCCCTTCCTGCGAGTCAGTTGCTGAAGGTCTGAATTCTCTCTCTCACACCATCCTCCAAACAGTTATCACTTCCTAAATCTTCCAGCCTCGTTGCAAAATATCGGGCTAAAGCCACAGAAGATGCTTTCAGTAACAGGTCCCAACATGAACCATAACATTCCTTGAAATCAGCCACATAAATGTTCATGCTGCTGTCTGTTCTTTATATAAAATAGAAATGTAGAAAGCATAGCAACCTCACTTTGACTCGTGAGCCTCCTCCATTGCATGTGGAGATCTCCCATCACTCTGAGATTTGGGCTTCCTACCTTTCCTCCAAAGGGGTTTGTTTCTACCCCTGAGTCCCCCGTCTTTGGTTTCTGACCATTTTCAGAATGGGTTTGACCAGGGACTTTTCTCTATCACCAACTAATACCACCAAAGGCACAGGAGAAGGTAATGGTTGGGATAACAGCAAAAAACAAGCTTCTAATGGGAACCTTGCTCACCTCAAAGCTCAAAGGATATAGGTATGTGTTTATGTTCACACACACACACACACACACACACGTATGTATGCATGCACACACATGATTTCAATAAAGTCCATAGTGAGATTCTTGTCTGGTAGCAATGAGTTAAAGCTAGCAATCTTGTTTGCCTTAAGTCTGAGCAGCTCCTGACAGCTGAAAAGCACATTCTATTTTGGAACCTAATGCCCCTTCTTGCTTATATGTTGTACAGATTTTGATAGAAGGTATCCTAGGACAGGGAAACACAGCCAGCATTGCCCTCTTTGAAATCAAGATGACCACCGGCTACTGTATTGGTGAGTTTCATTTTCATTGCATTAGAACACGAACGTTTTTTTCTAAAATCTGCTGTTGCCCCAGACACTGAATCAATCCTAAAGACCAAGTGTACTGTAGAACACATTGCGTAATGCATAGTTTTTAATTGTTTGCTAAGGTCACATGAATACTGGACATTGTTTCTCTGTCTTTAGCGTAGGAAGGCTCATTAGCATTTTCCCTGGGCTGCTTGGATTAATGATAGGAAAGTAGATACAGCAACTGTACCCTCAGTCTTGCCACCCTAAACCCAAGAGAGTCTCAGCTCATTTCTGGGTCTGTGTAAACTGATTTTTGTAGCCTTTGCCAGAAAAGCAGGCTTGGTATTCCCTGCTTGCCATCCTTTCTCTTGGCTCACTGTTTTAATCTGTCTTAATTGCAGTTACCACAGACTCTGCTTGGGCAGGGTTGGTTAGGTGTCCCTTACATGCCAGCTTCTGAGAGAGAATGAAGACAGGACAGCGCCTGCCCTCTGGGTGCTCACTATCTTGTCTCTGCCTCTGGCCATATCGGCTATGTAATAAGTGCAACCAGAGAAGGTCAGGGGTACCGAGGAGCAGCGAGTAGGAAGGAGAGGGCTGTCTCTGGGCAGACCCCATGGGGAGAAAGACCAGAACACACTCTGGCAAAGGCCGGGGGCTGGGTTGGGTGTTTGAAGTGAGGATCTGTACTACTCAGGGAGTCCCTTGCCTGAGGCTGGACCTAGAGAGAGAGCTTGGCTTGCCTGAGTTATAGTGTGGTACGGTAACAGTCAGCAAGGAAGTGGAGTGCAGTGGGGCCGGTGAACTGGAGACAAGGAAAGTATGTAGGTGTAGGAGCTAGCAAAAACCTTACACTGCGATCCTGCAGAGGGGCCGTAATGAACCTCTTGAGTTGGGGTTCCGCAGTGCAAAAGAAACAAAGTCGGTAGATCTGAGGGATTTTTCAGGCCTGCAGAGGTTGAATGGATGTGGAAATGAAGCGAGTAGAGAGTCTAAAACAATTCAGAACCAGAAGGAAGCTTTGCCAGTTCCCTGGAGTCCCGCTTCTCCATTTTGTCCTCCAGGGGTAGTTCTAGGGCAAGAAAATAGAGGGATACTGGGCAAGGGAGTAGTCTCTTCCTTCAGCCTCGCTCTAGGTGCCCCCCCCCCCAGAGCTAGTCTCACCTCGCAGCGCCGCCTGCTGGTTCCATCGATCCACAGAGCCTTTCAGGCCCTCAGCTGTAAAATGGGGATAAAATGCTTCCCTTGTTGGATTCCTGTGAACACTAATGAGATCGTAGATATGAGGGTGATTGGCAAGGTGCTGGGCACCGTTACCTCTCTTCAAATTATCTGGTGGCTTTCAGCTTGTTTAAAACAAAAGGAAGGACAACATTTAATGTTGTTAAATGGTGCAATCACTGCTCTCAACTCTCCTTTCTTCGTGGGTAGCTATTTTGTTAGTTCCTCATCTGTAAAATGAGACTAGCAATAGTACCTATCTAAAAGGGCTGCTCCAAGGAGTAAATTCATATATTATGCTTAGAATAGTGCCTAGCACCCCGAGAAATATCTTGCTTTTTATTATACTCTGCCGCAGCCTTTGACACTGAATGTTGGGCATTGGTTGACCATTTTCTAAACCTGCCAATGTAAAAACACAATGATAACTTTGCCAGCGAGGATCTTGGCAGGAAGGTGGAAACCAAGGTGCAGTCAACCTGAGTAATCTGGGGAAAGCTCATCAACGACACCACAGAGGTGTGAGTGGTAAAGAAGCCAGCAAGGGAGAGCGCTGTGGCGGAGGGCACAGGATGAGTGGATGAGAGGCGGTAATGACTCCTAAGCCTTTATCCTGCTTAGGCCCCAAGGGGCAGGGGAGGAGGGGCCCCTAGAACCTGGAAACCACAGCTCTATGTGAAGGGCTTCTTCGGTAGGCTGTGCCGTCAGTAACAAGCCATGGCACCATGGCCGGGAGGAGCTGGGGGAATTAGCCCTGGGTGTCATTCTGCTCTTACCCTCCACTGGCAGAACGCAGTCTGGACAGGTCACCCTCTGGAGGACAGAGGTGGTGGAGAAGGGCAGGGTGGGTTGAGAGAATCAGTGAGGAATGGTTAGCACCATCATCTCATGTTCTTGTTTTTGTTTGGTTTTTTGGTACCAAGGATTGAACGCAGGACCTTGCCCTTGCCAGGCAGGCACCAGTACCACTGAGCTAAATTCCTGGCATCTTCTCTCATGTTTTAAATTACAGTGTTATTGGAATCAGTGGAGGCATTGGTTTGTGAATTTCTTTTCCCACTAAAGGAGCCTGTTGCTGGGGAACAAATTGTAGTAAACATTTCAGTGGCACTAAAAAGAAAGGAAAGGTCTCTTCATCTGCTTTCTCTTCTCTACTCAAGAGCTGCAGAAGGGGCCCAGAGCCACAATAACTACCAACTCTAACTAGGTGCCGGCTGATAAGAAAATCAGAGCACTTCAGGGCCTAGGAAACATACCCCTTAATGCTGGGCATTATTCACACAACCAGAAGAGAAACAGATGGAGAACGGGCTACCCGGTTGAAATAAAAATGATGGGAAAAATCTCTAGAGCTGAGAGCACAGCCTAAATAGTGCCTTAAAAGAGAGTGTCAAAGGCTGAGGATTTAGCTCAGTGGCACCACACCTGCCTCACAAGCGCAAGGTCCAGAGTTCAATCTCTGGTACTGGAAGAAAAAAAAAAAAATAGAGATGATGAACCTGGGAGTGTTTGATCCCCAGCAACAAAAGATAATTTTAATTTAATTCGACAGAGATGAATGCCGAAAATGGCCAGCTTGTACCACGTGCCTGGCACTGTGCTGGGAGCTGTCCATACTTAGAAACGGTCCTGTGAGGTGGGAAGGTCGTCTCCAGTTCACATACGCAGCAGCACTGGCTCATGGCTAATTGCAAAGGCCACAGTTCAAAGAGGCAGTGACCATTTGGGAGCCCAGTTCATCTCAGGATCTCTTCTGGGGCAGCGGGGTCCAGTCCTGGCACAAACGTTCCAGCAGGTAAAAGAAGAGAGTAGGCCAGACGTGGTGGTGCACACCGGTAATCCAAGCACTCTGAAGGCTGAGGCAGGCAGATCACTTTGAGTTCGAGGCCAGCCTAGGCTTCCTCAGTGAGTTCGAGGCCAGCCTGAACTACTTAGCAAGACCCTATCTCAAAAGGCCAAAAAAGAAAAAAAAAAAAAAGAAGAAGAAGAAGAATAGAAACCTTTAAAGGCAGACTCTGCAGTGAGCAGTGGTATCCCCACATGTGACTGTCTGTCTAAGAAGCGGTTATTTTTTTCTCTCCCACCAGAATGTGACTTTGAAGAGAACCATCTCTGTGGCTTTGTGAACCGCTGGAATCCCAATGTGAACTGGTTTGTGGGTGGAGGAACTGCTCGGAACTCCCACTCCATCCTCCCACAGGATCACACCTTTAAGAGTGAACTGGGTGAGTGTGGAACGCATGCCTGCTTTTCTCAGGGTGAATTCTTCTGCCACCTCCTCCTGCCCCCTAGATTGACCTGACCGTGGCCTCTGTTGGCAGAGTAGGGAGGAGAAGGGTGGGTACCAGGAGCCCAGCTGGAGGAGTAGGGGAGAATAAACAGGGAGATCAAGACAGACTGAAGGCATGAGCTCCATAATTCAAGACAAGACCTGTTAGTGAAAGGTTTTACTTTGAAATTATTGGGACCTGTGCTGCCACTTTCACTTTCCCATATTATGCTTTATTTCTTGTCTGTTTGTGGTTTAATAGCTCTCATTTCTAAGAGCAAGGCTAGAATAATCCCAGGTAACATTTCTTTAGCACTAGGTTGACAGGTGGGTGTAAATCCTTGAAAAAGCCTCAATGACAGCCAGGAGAGCCTATAGCCGCTGATTATTTCTGAATGTGGTGTTCAACAGCGCCCCCTGGTGGCCATGTCGGCTGGTTCTTTGCAAGGAAAATGGGACGGTAAGGCTGTGAGAGAACTGGAGCAGCCTAAAGCCTCCACAAGACGAGCAAGGCTTTACTTGCACGTGGGTTATCACTGCTGTTGTCTGGACTGAGGTAGATACTGCAAAAGCCTAAGGCTTCCTACAGTTCCATAACGTTCCAGTCTTTAAGCCCAAGCTCTTTTCCAAGTAACAGGAAGGTTCTGCTGATGGGTTGGTTTCCCAGTAAGCATTCTGTTTTGCTGTAAACAGTTCCTTTTACCTTTTGACCCGCTTTCACGTGGATACTGAAGTGAACTACTCGGTCCCAGTAGCTTGCTGAGGGTGACAGTGTGACCTCCTGACAGAAGACATGACCATTTATAAATCCTCGCTGTTTTTCTCATTCACAATAGATCCTCATCGTCTGAATGTTTTAACGTGTCACCAGCTGTTTTTCCACAGTGTACATCCTGCCATTTACCTTGGCTCTGAGTGTTCTTCATCTCGACCTTCCCGTCTTCGCTCCCAGTCTCTCTCCCCGTGTTTACTCAGGGTCTCAGGCTCTGGGGCGAGACAGATGGAGAAAGTAACGTGGGCAGAGTGGAGACGGTACCGAGACCAGCGTCAGTGAGTTTCTGTCCTGTGGTAATGTGAGCCCAGTTTGCTAGAACTTTCGATTTTTCAGGATAATGAGGAAGGCAAGCATTTGTAATGTAAGATTCCTCTGGATTTTAAAAGTTAGTTAATATTTTCTAAAATACAATACATCGACTGACAAGAAGTCAGTTGATTTTTTCCTTACAGCCTTCATTCTACAGGCTTCCTTTGTTTCCCAAATTTCAGGCTTCTTAGAGCAACATACTTGTGAGTAGCTGGATGCTCATGGGGCTTGCCTGTTTTAGACAAACCCAGCCTTGCATCCAGAGCTTTTATTCATTCACTCCTGAACGAGGTATAGTGAGGGAAATGACAATGAAAATGACAAGTCTCCGGGCCTCTTCCCCGTTTCAAAGGCTATGCGTTCAAAGAAGGGAAAGAGGTTTCTACCACAGCGGGTCTCAGGCAGTCGTGCGTCCAGTGCTGTGAGAGAGGTCCTGCTCCGCCCAGAAGAGAAGGCTAGATGTTCAGTCACGCATTGCATGGGTGTCCTAAAAGTCAGGGTAGAGCAGCTAAACTGCGTTTGAAGGGCAGGTATGATTTTGATAGGTGGAAAGAGAGAGAGAAAGAGAGAGAGAGAGAGAGAGAGAGAGAGAGAGAGATTGGTGATACACAGATACCAACTACAAGAAGTAATTAGGAGAGATATGGCTGAGAAAGCAGTGTAGGGCAAGTCCTTGACAGCCAAGAAAGAAAAATTCCACTTTATTAATTTACAACGGGAAGTCTTTGAGCAGGGGAGAGATGTTTCGTAGCAGTGTGTTTAGGAGCATGACCCTGAAGACGATATTTCAGCAGGTAGAAGACAGAAAGGTAGAACAGGTACGAAAAGAGTGCCTAACGAACTGTTTCTTTAGACACACAGCTAGGGTCCTTCATATAAGGAACTGCGATAAGGAAAAGGAAAATGATTTACTTCCCACTTTAAAAAAATAAGATTTAGAACCTGCGGCAATAAGGTTTAGAGCCAGTGACGAAAGATTGGAGCTTCCCTGTATGTAGCCCATGTTTTAATCCTAAAGACGCACAGCTGGCCTCCGTGCAGGCCATTACAGGAGCCGCACTGGCAGTGACTGCTGTGTGTAGAGTGCCTGATAACCAGTCGCAGCACAGAGGTCCACAAATCTACATGAGGATTTGAAGTCATTTTGGTGGATTCAAAGCAATATCTATTGAGAATGTTGTCCAAAAAAGTCAAGCAAGTAACTAAACTATCTGTTGAAGTTGTAAAAAGAAAAGCAAAGTAACCTTTTCTCTGTGCATTGAAGTAGGCTAGTTTTACAATTGTTTTTCTCATCATATCTTAAAATCTAATGCAGGGAGTGGAAAGGATCTTCAAAAGCGAATATATTCAAGTTGGAATAATACTTGGTATCATCATCACAATTAACTTGTGGATCAAATTGAACCATAGGGAAGTATAGAGAACTTGACCCCAATCACTCACAGTGAGCGCTTAGAGTTTCAAGTCCTCTGGCTAACCAAAGTCGCGATCCTGTGACTGCTTACCTGGTGCATCGCTTTTCCTTCTCAGTGATGTCGAGCTGAGCTCCGGCTGGCTGGAGAGAATGTGTATTCCTCGGGAAGGGACAGCAGAGCTGTGGGCTGGTGTCAGATCACCCACTGGACTGTACTCTCAGAGGACAATCCATACCCTTATTTCTTCACCTGCAACCGCAGACCCTCCTGGCCATGTTTGTGTCCAGGAGCCAGAACGCTTGTGCTCCAGGCCTGGCTATCAGAGTCCTCTGACTGTGAGTGACCCCTTTTCTCAGAGTCTCCCTTGGCCTGTTTGCCAGTGAGGAATTTACAGTCAGTGATCTCCAAGTTGGAGCGCTGTACTCTTCTCTCTTTGCCTAACCCTATACATCAAAATCTCCAAACTCACTGCCCACTGAGATCTATTTCAAACATGTATTGGGTCTCTCCTAAGTACTTACAAGCACGTTAGGAAGAAAAGTACTACTAGTGGGAGTAAGAAGTGAGGAAATGTGGGCCTGACTTCTCTCGAGCCTTGATTAGCAGGGTCGGACAGAGGCACAGTGGAGCGGCCATCCTGAGAAGCACTGACACTTGCTAGTTTGGGCTGTCACCCCTGCCACTGCCCTTGCTCCGTCCTCCTCTCCTGCACCCTCCCCTCCTGTTACTCCTCCCCTTTTCCGTCCTTTCCCTTCTTCCTTGGCTGTCCTAATGCACCTCCCAAAGGTAGCCAGCTTTGCTGACTAACAGTGTTCCGGGTCTTGATGTCAGTACTGAGGACAAAAGGAGAGGCTGGCCCTCGGACAAAAGGGAGCCCTTCTGAGGAGGGCTTCTGCGTCCCTTCCAGGGAGCCACAGGATGGTGTCGTGTAGGCAGGGCCTCACCACCAGAAGGAGGCCTCCTCACCAATCGCTCCCTCACTCACTTCTCCAACACACACGTCATGAGCTCCTTATGGTCTTGCATGTTTTGATGGTACAAACATAGCAACTTTCAAGAGATCATAGGAACTAATTTTTCCAAAACACCTTTCCCCAAAATACCCATTCTCAGTGTACCACCCTTTACAGGAAGGAAGAAGGGTGCTACATGGTTGGATAAAGTGGGGAAATTCTGAGGTAAGGAAAACTAAACAGATCTCTATTTCAGGACTCCTCACTGTTTTGAATGTAGTTCCCTGTTAATGTATTCTACAGCCTTTCTTAAATTATCGAAATGACAAAATGCTAAATAGACACGCACAGCGATGCATGACTAGTAAAGGCGTAAAAGAAATTACACAGACCCATGTAAAAAACTGAAGGATTCCCTCAGTTTGGGGCTCATGGCAGACTCTCTGGAGGAAGTGATGGCAAACTGGAATTGGGCTGGATGAATAAGGAGAAGATTACATATGGTCGATGCAAAGGAGTAGGGGTGTGCAAGCAGACAGGTAGTCTTGTGTTTGGAAAGTGTTGAAGTTTCTAGGATATAGGATGATGGTGGAGTCGCCCCAGATCCTTGGTTATTTTCCTACTTACCATAGTAAGAAGCTGGGATGCCTCTGATCTTCTTGCTTCTTCTTTCTTCTTTGCTATTAACTCCAATTTCTCTTCAGATTTTGGACTCAAATGTTGCCCGTTTACTGACCAACAGCCTTGTCATCTCCACTCAGTGCGCGCACACACACACACACACACACACACACACACACACACACATGCATGTTCACTTTCCTAACTCCTGAGCTTCCATGTAAGGTTTCCTCTGAGTAGGATAGGGCTAAAAGAGGTGAGTTCTGAAGATTCTAGAATATTTTCTTTGAAGAGCTCTGCATATATAACTCAAAGGTTTGCCCAGGATCACTCTTGGCAAAAAGAAAACCCCCAGTGCTCTAGAAAGGCTAGAGGTCGCATCTCTTATCTCCCTTGCCTTCAGCTGGGTGTATTGATTTTCCCTGAGGTCTGTCAATTTGGGTGGCACATTAAGACGGCGTGGTCCAGGTGTCTGCCTGCAGCAGCAGATTTTGCTCTATTCGAGCTCACCTTGGTTCGTTCACATCAGGGAGCAGTTTGTGCCTTTGCTTTCAGGTGAAAACTGGAGAAGCAGTTGGCGGGGTGAGGGGAGCACTGGGTGTGCGGCCAGGGCTGAGGGCGGTCTTCTCAGGGGGATGCCAGTCTTGTGCTGTGGAAAAAGGAATAGCGAATGCGTATCTGAAGACGACAGTGGAGGCAGGAGTTTTCTTTCACTTCCTTGTGTGCTTTTAACAATTTTCTCTGAACGGAATCAAGATTTTTAGATGAGTGCTGTGTCCTCAAGTTCTTGCCAAATAAATGGTAGAGACAGATGAGAAAATGAAGCACAATAGAAACAGATAACACGGCATTGTGGTGGGACTTCTTGGGAACCCTGGCGGGAATGTGATAGCATCCTGATTTTCTCTTACTCAGTTTCGATCCACTGTGTGTGGGTTTCTTTCACGGTTAGTGTTCTATGAAGAGAAATGAAGTCTTTCAGGAGGCAGCCTACTGACAGCTGCGTTCGTGAGTGTTTTCTACCTGCCTTAGCAAAAGAAGATAATTGCTGCGAAAATAATGAAGGAAACTCATTTCTTTGCTGAGATTTTTTTTCACAGCAAGCCTGCTTAGGGTGCCACTGGGGAAGGTGCTGGGCAAGGCCTCAAAACCTAAAATAACAGTAGAATTCTCTTATTCCATCAAAGACCATGCTTTAGACGCATCATCTCTCTATCGCTCGTGACTCTCTTTGCTCATTTTGGTTTGTACTGAGTTTGAGAGCTGCCTTAGGAGCAGCTGTTCATTTGCTCTCTGCACTGATCCGTCTAGGTCATAGCTAAGCCCTTGACAGGGAGACAGCTTTATTAATTTCTTATCTTCACCTGTGTGCAGGCTCCACTGTGTCACCTTCCTCCATCCCTGGATGGCTTGCTGTGGCTTCCTGGCCATTTTCACGTCTTAACAGACAGTTCATTTTCAAGGATTAATAAGTTCAGTCACGTCATAGCCCCTTTGTCTCACCCAGTTCTAATCTTCCCCGACCCTAGATCATAGAACAGCAGCAGCAGCAGGAACAAAGGTTTCTTCCTTTTCTTTTTGTCTCTTCTTTTTCTTTCCTTCCTTTTCTCCCATTTGCTATGCTGCTCTGGCTTCATCAGGATCGAAGAGGTATAGTGGGGAGTGGGACAGAAAAGAAAGTGCTGCGGGCAAGAAATTTTACTTGCTGGTGCTATTTAATATTAAATTGATGTAATTCACACTGTAGGTGGTCAAAATCTGGCCTCTTGTTCCATGAGTTATGGGAATCTGACTTTATGGTTCCCAGACAGGGATGATGTACTCTCTGGCTGGTCATTCATGAATCCTCTTGGCTCCTGTAAATAACGGGACACCCTATCAGCCCCTTTCTGTGGGGACTACCATGCCAAAAAGAGTCTTTCCAAGGGACTATAGCACATCTGCCTTCTTAGTCGCCCATTTAGGCTAAGGGAAAACTCAACATCTTTGCCTCATCAAACTCTGCATGTGCTGCT